TCAATATCATATTACCAACAAAATATTCTCATCACGAATCTACATATACTCCTAGGTATAAAAAAAAAGTAAACAAATCATTTGAGGACCAATAAACAGTGATTCAATATATTAAGAAGCACATTAAAATTCATTACCTTTTCTATGCCTTCAATGGATGAACAGTCAGTTTTGTCGCACAACCACCAGGAACAAGTTTCGAGTTTTTTTTTATTATATTTCTTGCCATAACAATCGCGTTTTATGTACAAGTCGACTCCTAAAATTAAACTCACAGCTTCACACACAAAAAAAAAAAAAATTAAAATCAAAACTCAAAAAATAACTGCATAATTCGATGATGGCTGTACAAAAAATACTTTGGTGAACTTAAAAAATACCTGCAAAATTCGAATTACATTACATGAAAAATACAAAAAAACAATGAAAATACTTTATTGATAAATTTACTTTGGTGAACTATAGTCACATGTAGTTATGTCTCCTTGTTACTACATATGACTATATATGACTATATGTAGTCAACTATAGTCACATAGTTGTGTTCATTCTTGTTACTATATGTGACTATATATAACTACGTGTACATGACCACATGTGACTATATATGTATATAAATAAAATTCATTTACATCACCAAAAAAATCATGACTATAGTTATCTATAGAAATTAAACTTGTTCGTAATAATCACAAAACAAACATCACAAGAACCAAGTATCACATTTTTCTCAAGATGCCGAGCGAACAAAAAAGTATACGATCATAATTTTTTGGGGCAAAGTAAAATTTGCGAGAGATATATTCTGAAAGTATCCCTAAATGAAATCTATCAGCTACACGGTCACAGAAAATTAATTATCGATACAACGAAGGCAATATTTACGATGATAAACCATAAGAACTGTGACAAGGAACCATTGAATTTCTTTAAACTCTCAGTTTCAAGCCTTATATAATCAATTTTACCAGAAAATTAACTTACAATCCAGTGTTTACATATCCAGCAATTTTCGGCGGTTCCGATTCATATGTGTCTAGGTTTTGTATGTACCAAATTAATGAAAAAAACCAGTATCACATTAATCGATTCGTAACTATATTAGACATCGCTTACTGTGCAATCCATAAAGAATTACAAATAATAACAAAATTCTTGTTAATATATATTCCATTAAATATACACAAAAAAGACAAATCATCTTCCTACAGTATGAATGTCAAATGTTTAATGAGCTCCCATCCCACCGACCAAAAGTCCATGAAATCAAATACAGGCATCGAACATGAATCTATTCCGTCCGCAATAATATGAAGAGAAAACTGTAATAAACTATAGATAAAGTTCTAGAAAAAAAAAAGTAAAAGGCCGAACGCTTACTTTCTGAACAGATTATTCAGGGGCGCTGTTTTTGAAAAAGTAAATAGTGGCAGGCCTTCTCGTGCTTGCAACACGAAGCTTCGAAGAAGCAGGAATTAGCGGCGAAAAATGGAGGTCCTGTGAAATTCTCGTGTTCGTAGCAGGACCCATGTACTCTTGCAAGACCTGCAATCGCAATTGATAATAAATTATGAGGGTTAACGACTACTGGTTTAAAAAAACAAACACAAACACACACACATTCGTGGCTGAGATTTGTAAACAAATTAAAATTAACAAGCTAATCGACCTACTGTGTGCGGATCTGCTGTAAAAACACAGCGATTTTCCAGATCCGTTGTACTCTTCATTCTTCGCATCTAGGGACAGCAGTTTGAAAGCAAATGGCGGTGGAAATAGTTGGCAGCTGAGCTCGGCAAGGAGGTGTGGCGAAAGAGAGGCGGCGCTAGATGGAAGGCGAGCGACCGCTAGAACGGTGGAGGTGGAGCGGGGATGCGCGTCGGAAGAATGGTTAGAGAGAGAAAAGAACCGAGCAGCGCGATGGCGGAGCAGCGGTGCAAGGCTCGGGCAGAGCAGCAGCGATTTTGCGTCCATGGCGGAGCAGCGATGATTTTACGCCGGTGGCGGAGCAGAGGCGATTTTGCGCCGATGGCGGAGCAGCGGAGCTGATGGGAAGTGAGAGAGAGAAGAGGCGGTGGGAGAATAGAACGAGAATTGTGAGAGAAAGAGTTAGGGTTTTAATTGTAATTAGAAGGGCAAAATAGGTATTTTAGTTTGTCTAGGGGGGTCTGTCAAATTAAGATTAGAATTTGGGTTTTTGACTAGGAAAGAAAAATCAATAGGGTCTATCCCTATATATTTTCAAAACTAGGGGGTTATCCCAAATTTTCCCTTGAATATAATTGAAATTACGAGTTGAATATTATAAGTCCAAAACTCATTAATTTGCAAAAATAGCACGCACTTGATGGTGAAATTGTAACATCTTTAGATATAGTTAGTGTGTAATTAATTTGAAATAAATGTATTAAACATTTTTCCTCGACTTCTATATTTTAGAGCAACTACAGTAGTGCAGTAGTGCTACTGTTTCTCAAATTATAAACAAGGGTAAATTACAAACACCCCCCTCAGGTATGGTCAAATTACAAAAACCCCCTCTTGTTTGGATAATTACATCTACCCCCTCAACTATGATTTTTTCTTAGACCTCCACCTTTATGGTGCCAAATTCAACATAGTCATCCAGATTCCGTGAAATGTGCTCTAGTTTGTACTCTTTTTGTGAAAAAAATACAGTTTCCGATGCACCACAAACTGATATATACAAGCTAAAAATAAGATATTATGGTCATCTTGCTTCATAATGTAAAGTTTGAATGGGATAAAACGGGTACAAAAGTGATAATATTCCATATAATCTCGAAGATTCCACTAAATTTGATGAGTTGAGGGGGTGGTTGTAATTATCCAAACAAGAGGGGTGTTTTTGTAATTTGGCCATACCTCAGGGGGGTGTTTGTAATTTACCCTTATAAACAATGAACAATGTTTTAAACTTTTAATACATTATTTTTTCTAACGCACTACAACAGTAATTGTTTATATTTTAACACAATAAAAGATGTGACTTTAATTTCTCAATAAATAAAGAATATAATGTAGCATAAATAATAAATTGGAAGACCTCAAGTTCACGCCAAGACATTAAAATAAAATAAAATAAATAATAAACAAATTAAATACAAGTTGAATTTCTGGACATGACCAGCGGTCCAACTTAGAGGATAGACTAATGCGACTTTAATTTCTCAATCTTAATCATCGATGTTGATTCTTAACAGACTTTTGCCTAATTCTTCGTTGTATAGTTTATATTATGCTACATTAGATGAAATACAACGAACATATATATTTATCATTCATATACACATAAATTCACACATACCAATATTCCCTAATTCTTCTGTTCATTGATTGACTTTTATCTCCAATATCTATATTAATAATAATAAAATTACCATTGATTAGTATATCTTTTCCATGTTAAATATTGCACCAATTCTTACGTATCTTTCCAACACTGTCCCCCACTCCTTCCAATATCTTTGCGGTTTGACATATGTATAAAAATTATTTTTTATTCAAAAAAATAAAAAATATTTAAAAAAATAAATAAAAAGAATGCAAATAAGGTGTAACGTTGATTGGATGTGTTGTGGCCCTCGACATGCACTAAGTACTTAAAATTTAAAGTCGCACTTTACAAAAGCAACCGACAACATATACATGGCAAAAAAGTCCTAAAAACGCGTTTTCTTTCTTTTCATACATTATAATTAATCTGATGATGAACTAAACGAATTGCTTTTTCCAAATATTATCTGATCCGACAAATTAATAAAAATAGAAACATATTGCCCTGAGCTATGCATACAAATGACTGTCTCTATTCAGACAATATATATATTGTTATTGAAAGATGTATATATGTATGTGTTATTACAAAGTACTATCTGTAAAATGAATTAAGAGAAAGAACAACGAAGACTACGTAAGTATTACGTACCCTAATCTGCGGTCGCGACGACGACGACGACGACAACTATACATCTTTCGCACGTGTGTGTACTAATTTCTCTAACCTAATCAACTCATGAACCAACAAAAGAATATTCCAAAATTCTCAAGAAATTTGGAGTGGAATTATAAAAAGAAAAGAAAAAGGAAATATGATTTAATTAATAAATTAAAAGCTAGTGGCCAATGCCGGGACTAGGAACGGAGCGGAGGATTCGGTCAACGCCGGACAGGTGGCGGGCGACGAGCTTCTCGTCGATGGTGACCGAGTGGCCTTTCTTGCTTGGGGTGGATTTCGGTACGGTTCCCTTCGGAAGCGCCACCATGTACAACCTCTCGTCCACCGTTGCCGGAGGAGCTTTGTTCGGTTGAACGTCGTTCGTCAATAACTTCCGGCCATGTGTGGATGATAATAAGCCAGAAAACAATACTACGAACACGAAAAACAATCGCAGAGTGATTTGTTGAGCCATGTGCTTGAATTTTTCTTTAGAGAGAGAAAAGAGAAGAGAGAGAGAGAGAATGAATTTGTGTGAGTGTTTTTGTTTAATCCTTTTAATTTTGATATTTATAGAGAGGAGTGATTGATTAATGGAGAGTGATTTTAGGGGTTGAATGTATAATAAATAAATAAATATAGACACAAATAGCAAAGGAATAGGACTTGGGGATCAAGATATAGTTGGGCCAAGTCAAATTTGAAGTTCTAATTTCCACATGTGAACTTTGAAGGAAACACCCTCCTAATTAACTATATTTTATATAAAATTAAATTGAATTAAATTACATTCATTCTAAAATTAATTACATATCCATGGAATCGTGGTAATTAACGAATTAAATGCGGAGTAATTTTAGTTTTTAGAATATATTAACGCCCACGATATATTGTGATCCATGATCTATTTCACGACTTTTGAATATAGGGAAAATTTGGGATAACCCCCTAGTTTTGAAAATATATAGGGATAGACCCTATTGATTTTTCTTTCCTAGTCAAAAACCCAAATTCTAATCTTAATTTGACAGACCCCCCTAGACAAACTAAAATACCTATTTTGCCCTTCTAATTACAATTAAAACCCTAACTCTTTCTCTCACAATTCTCGTTCTATTCTCCCACCGCCTCTTCTCTCTCTCACTTCCCATCAGCTCCGCTGCTCCGCCATCGGCGCAAAATCGCCTCTGCTCCGCCACCGGCGTAAAATCATCGCTGCTCCGCCATGGACGCAAAATCGCTGCTGCTCTGCCCGAGCCTTGCACCGCTGCTCCGCCATCGCGCTGCTCGGTTCTTTTCTCTCTCTAACCATTCTTCCGACGCGCATCCCCGCTCCACCTCCACCGTTCTAGCGGTCGCTCGCCTTCCATCTAGCGCCGCCTCTCTTTCGCCACACCTCCTTGCCGAGCTCAGCTGCCAACTATTTCCACCGCCATTTGCTTTCAAACTGCTGTCCCTAGATGCGAAGAATGAAGAGTACAACGGATCTGGAAAATCGCTGTGTTTTTACAGCAGATCCGCACACAGTAGGTCGATTAGCTTGTTAATTTTAATTTGTTTACAAATCTCAGCCACGAATGTGTGTGTGTTTGTGTTTGTTTTTTTAAACCAGTAGTCGTTAACCCTCATAATTTATTATCAATTGCGATTGCAGGTCTTGCAAGAGTACATGGGTCCTGCTACGAACACGAGAATTTCACAGGACCTCCATTTTTCGCCGCTAATTCCTGCTTCTTCGAAGCTTCGTGTTGCAAGCACGAGAAGGCCTGCCACTATTTACTTTTTCAAAAACAGCGCCCCTGAATAATCTGTTCAGAAAGTAAGCGTTCGGCCTTTTACTTTTTTTTTTCTAGAACTTTATCTATAGTTTATTACAGTTT